CCGGAGGGTGAATTACCTAAATCACACGCCGCTGACAGAGGTAGAAGCTCAGAAGTATGCGGGGGTGTGGATCACGCCTTCACTAATCCATCATTCGCCTCCCTGAAGGTGGCCAAATGCGCAACGTCCAGCTTGTATCTAATCAAGCGCGCCTTTGCTTAGTTCGATAAAGTGGTCTTTTGCAAGGTCTTCGGCACGTTCCTGCGACCCCAACTGGAATTTTCCATACAAGCCTGGAGACCTTGGATAGCCAAAGACCGAAAAACCGTTGAAAATGTTACAAAGACGCGCAACAAAATTAGTACGAGGCCAAGGGAACCTCCTTTATGAGACCCGCTTGGTAAATCTTGACTTGTGTCCTCCGGATTACAGACAGCTACGCGGTGACCTAATACAGGCATTTTCCGTGTTGCGCAATCAGGATTTTTGCCTCGAATCAAATGATTTCTTTGAGCTGGCCAATACCAGTGAGCTGTGAGGACACTCTCTCAACTTACATGTGGCTGGGGCAAGACTTGACCGAAGAAAATTCCTTTGCTCTAAGAGAGTAGTTCAGGCATGGAATGCCCTTCCTGCGGACATTGTCATGTCCCCATTCGTGGACATCTTTCAGACAAAGCTTGACCAGCACCACCTTAGGTGCCACCACGGCAACTGAGTTCTCCGAAACTAAACATTGAAAAGTAATTGACATGCTTTAAATCTATAGTAATAACCATTTTAATTAGTATTACTATTTCATCAAAATACTTTCTCACCATGCATAGCCCATATCCGCGCTGCCTATTCTCACAATGCAAACTGCACTGACCGCGTCTGCAGTCGCATCTACCACATCTTTGGTCCTAGGCTACGCGGCCTTGTCACGCTCTTTTTCGTATCGACCTAAAAACTGACTGCTGACGACATGGCGGGTTCTTCTGCTCTTGCCACAGCAAGGGCGTATCATGGTCGCATCTCCTGTTCTTGGGGATGTTCTCGTGACTCTGAGGTCTCCTCCACGTGTGGTCCTTCAGATAGAGATATTACACGTCATGGACTCCCTGACTGCCTCCAACATTCACAGCAGCATGCTGGTCCTATCTTTTACCTATTTTCTCCCACGAGCGACAGTTTTTCTCCTAAAAACCACAAATGACATTCCACTTTTAAATTATGAGCCATGCCTTAGGAGTTTTTTCACTGTCTGTTCTTTTTGCTCAGTTACACCTGCTGGCTCGTGTTAACTGACATCACCATATGTGAGTGTATTACATGAAACAAGCGAGTAGTCGCCTCCAATTATGTAAATGACTTCTTTGAAATGTTCGACTGTGCCGATGCATTTCTTAACTACTGTGTACTAATAGGGAGTTCAAAGGCGTTTGCCTATATTTCCCTTAATAAACTTGACTTGACTTGTAGTTAGGCACTGATGTACGGAGCTTATAATTTTCGTGGGGTTACTTCGTCTCTTGCATGGCGGAGTCAGTGTGCGGAGGACGTTGGGGTGCGGCATGCGGGGGAGAGGGCCTGCTTACGGTAGGCCACGTTTGATGTCTGCCAATAAACACATGGCAGGCGTGTGTGACTATTCTTCGTTGATTGTGCCGGCGTGCGATCCCACCTGTAGTCGGCCAAGTGTACAAACGGTCTGTATAAACGCCTCTGACAGCAGAGAACTAGTCTTGCAAAACGAATCTCCACTTCCTCGGTTGTGACTAGCATCCGTTTGCGTAGGCCATTAGAGTAATGTGCTAGTGTCTGGTATGTGACCTGAAAGGCTCCTCCGCGTCAACTTGGTGTTTCGTATAAATTAAGTGTGCGAGTATTGAAATCTAAGTCGATCGATTTTTTCCTTTTCCCAGTCAGGCCAGTATGTTAGTATACAGGTGTGCTCCGATCTGGCCCAGGATTCACAAACTCTGGCTTATTTCGGCTGGTGATGCGTTGACACTTCAACTTTCTCAAGGACGAAACAATTATGTTACTCGCTAACTTTAAGTAACCAATGTATTACCGGCAAACGTTAGAACAGCTTGGTTACTTAAAGTTAGCGAGTAACATAAATGTTTCGTCCTTGAGAAACTGGAAGTGTCAACTCATTGCCAGACGAAATCAGCCAGGGTTGGTGAATCCTGGACCAGATCGGAGTACACTTATGTACTAATCTACATCCCGATCAACAACCGGCAAGACGTCGACCCGGTGGCTCAGTGGATAGGACGTTCGTCCCT